GACCTGAGTTCAGCTGCACACAGAAGAGACCAGCTGGGATGGAGCACACTTGTAATCCCAGTGCTGGGAGGCAGAGACGACACACAGGAAATGGTGAAGTGGTGAACTTAAGCTCTGTCATGTCAGTGCTAACTTTAAATATAAATAGATTATCGGATTTCATTAAAGTTAAGATAATCAGGATAATTCATTTTCTTTAACTTTTTTTTTCCGAGATAGGGTTTCTCTGTGTAGCTTTGGAGCCTATCTTGGAACTCGCTCTGTAGACTAGGCTGGCCTAGAAGTCACAGAGATCCTCCAGGCTCTGCCTCCCGAGTGCTGGGATTAAATGTGTGCACCACTACTGCCCAGCTAGAAATGTTTTATTACATTTATTTATTGTGTGTGTTTATGTATGTGGGCACAGGCTCTTTGGGTTTTGAGTACAGGTCAGAGGATAGCCTGAGAGAGTGAATTCTCTCCTACTGTGTGGTTCCTGGGGATTGAACTCCTGTCCATCAGGCTTAGCATCAAGCACCTTCATCCACAGTGCCGTCTCGCCAGCCCCTGTTCACTTTAAACATTAAGAGGTACCCTAAAAGTGAAAGGACAGGAAAGGACTGCCATATACCGAACAATTTCAGGAAACTGTCATGACTGCTACTACCAGATAAATACAGCTCAGGAATAGTACTAATGATATGGTGCACAGGCAAAAGTAACTAACTTTGTAGGAAAGCCAGACGAATCACTCGTGTGTGTGTGTGTGTGTGTGTGTGTGTGTGTGTGTGTGTGTGTGTGTGTGTGTGGTGTGTATGTATACACCAGAACTAGAAAACTCTGATAGAATTAAATGGTATAATAAACAAGTATACAAAGAAGAATGCATCCTGACCAAATTGGATTTATCCCAAGCATGCAACATCATATTAACATTAGATAACTGACCACTGTCATTTATGATTTTAATGAAATGAAAACACTTTCTAAAAAATTCAGAAATACCATCTAATAAAATTCAGTTTTCCATACATGGAACTAGAAGGACACACTAATTCTGCCTCGCTGAACCCCAGGTTAGACCTCTGCCCTACAGGAAGTGAGGTTTATTTGTTTTGTATTTTGTTTTGGTTTTTAAATTTTTTTCTTTTTTCTTTTTCTTTTTTTTCCACTTTTTAAAATTTATTTTTCTATTATCAGCTTGATACAGTATAAATTCTTATCCTATTTTGAAATGTTTCATTGAGGCTTGCCCAGTAATTGAGTAAAACCAAAACTTATTATAAGCCACAGTCATCCTAGGATCCCCCCTGCTATATAGCCTCCCTGGTTCTGTGGGTTGCAGTCTGATTGTTCTTTGCTTTATATCTAGAATCAACTTATGAGGGAATACATACCATGTTTTCCTTCTGGGTTTGGGTTACCTCACTCAGGATGATTTTTTTCTAGTTCCATCCATTTGCCTGCAAATTCATGCTGTCATTGTTTTTCTCTGCTCAGTACTCCTCCATTGTGTATATGAACCACATTTTATTTATCCGTTCTTCGGTTGACGGGCATCTAGGTTGTTTCCAGGTTCTGGCTATTACAAATAGTGCTGCGATGAACATAGCTGAGCATGTATCTTTGTGGTATGGTTGAGCATTCTTTGGGTATATGCCCAAGAGTGGTATGGCTGGGTCTTGAGGTAGATTGATTCCCAATTTTCTGAGAAACCGCCGTACTGATTACCACAGTGTCTTTTTCTTTTTCAAAGATTTATTTATTTGTTTATTTTATTTATTGTGTTCTGCCTGCATGTGTCCCTGCATGCCAGAAGAGAGCACCAGATCTTTTTACAGATGGATGTGAGCCACCATGTGGTTGCTGGGAAGTGAACTCGGGACCTCTGGAAAAACAGTCAGTGCTCTTAACCTCTGAGCCATCTCTCCAGCCCTAGTTTTTTTGTTTGTTTTTTGCTTTTTTTTGAAACAGGGTTTCTCTGTGTAACTTTTCGCCCTTCCTGGAACTTACTCTGTAGTCCAGGCTGGAACTCAACTCACAGAGATCCACCTGCCTCTGCCTCTCTGAGTGCTGATATTAAAGGCGTGCGCTACCACTGGCCAGACCTAGTTTTCTTTTTATTGAAAAGTTTGTAGCAATTTGTTATAGCCACCAGAGAAAATTTAATAAAATAGAGATGGATCATAACATAATTATTTTAGCTTTAGGATGGTATGAAAAGGTTGACAAGATGGCTCTGGAGACAAAGGCACTTGGAAGCCAAGGCTGATGACATACATCGTAAAAGGAAGGACCTCTAAAAGTTGTCCCCTGACCCTAACATGCACACCACGGTACATGCATGCATGCCCTCCCAATCAATATTTCCTCTTTCAAAGATGGTATGGCAGCAGTATTCACTCAACAGAAATTGAACTTGGAATTCGGATATTTTTCTGACCAGCAATTTGCCTTCTTGAGGTTCTAGGCAACAGCATAGAGCTGAAATTTCTGGTAACAACCCCAGGGGAAACTGTGGCCACTACAGTGTGCAGTGCTGGTAAGCTGTGGTGTTCAGCATGCTTCGTACTGAAATTCAGGGGCCAAGGCTGGATATTCCCAGATTCTTGGTCTCTTATTCGAGAATGAATCAAACGTCCACACAGATCACAAGCAGTGAGGAAATTTTCTTTAAAGCAAAGTGATAGGACAAGAGAAGCAGGCTACATGAGTCAAGATACTCAAGGGTCCTGATTACTGTTTGGGGTTTCTTTTTATGGAATTAAAGAAGAGAATCTGGGCTGGTACAGATTACAGTGAGGGTGGAGTCCCTATTTTGAGATAGATTAGTCATAAAATAAATTTTCTACTTCATATATCCCTCCCCATAATGCATCTAATTTTATTTATGTTTATTTTATATGTATAATGTTGCCAGTGTTTATGTCTGTGCACCATGTCCATGCAGTGCCTGCAAGGACCAGAAGAGGGGGTCAGATCCCCTGGAACTGGAGTTACAGCTAGCTGTGAGCCACCATGTGGGTGCTAGGAATGGAGCCCAGGTCCTCTAGAAGAATAGCCAGTGCTCTTAACTGCTAAGCCATCTCTCCAGCCCAGTGCATATATTTTAGTCAGGTACACCCAATTATGCAAAGGCATGAAGTGGTTAAGTAGGAAAGTTCCCCCTAAAAGTTCTCTTGAGAGCACAAGTTTGCCTCATGCATGTATCCAAAACTAGTTCACCCTGGATCAGTCCCCTATATAAATTGAATAGAAAAGAATAGAATATGTCTAACTTTGATGGTTGGGAAAGCAAGAAGGGACTTATCCCACGGTTGAGAGAGGAGGATATGTGCAGCTTAATGCACAGGGAGGTCCCAGATTCCCAAACAATGCCAGGTGCATTACTCAAAGAGAAGTGTGTGTAAAATCCAAGTCAACTCAGGTTGCTAAGCTAGGTATGCTTTTATTTAACTTTTAAATAAAAGAGCAAGAACTTGAAATCACTTGGTCCAGACACTAACAACCAGTAATAGTTAGACACAAAACAGGAATACAACTCTCAAAATTTTTATTACATGTATTTGTTCATTTGAGGGGGACACAAGTGCCACCGTATTCATGTGCACGTTGGGGGATTTGGTTCTCTCCTACCATGTGGATCCTTGGGGTTGAACTTGGGTCTTAGTGCTAGACAGTAAATACACTTACCTTCTCGACCATCTTGCAGGCCCAGGGATATAATTTAAGAAGTATACACACACACACACACAAACACACACACACACAAAATGTATGTAAGAATGGCTGCTGATGTGAGAGGGAGAGGGAGAGGGAGAGGGAGAGGGAGAGGGAGAGAGGGAGAGAGGGAGAGAGGGAGAGAGGGAGAGAGGGAGAGAGGGAGAGAGGGAGAGAGGGAGAGAGGGAGAGAGGGAGAGAGGGAGAGAGGGAGAGAGGGAGAGAGGGAGAGAGAGAGAGAGAGAGAGAGAGAGAGAGAGAGAGAGAGAGAGAGAGAGAGAGAGAGAACAAAAGAAAGAAAAATAAATAACGGGACCAGTTTGGGTGACTCAATTTCTGCATTAATATCCGTACAGAAAGTGAGCTTTTAAAAAGAAAGAAGAAAGCCGGGCGGTGGTGGCGCACGCCTTTAATCCCAGCACTTGGGAGGCAGAGCCAGGCGGATCTCTGTGAGTTCGAGGCCAGCCTGGGCTGCCAAGTGAGTTCCAGGAAAGGCGCAAAGCTACACAGAGAAACCCTGTCTCGAAAAACAAAAAAAAAAAAAAACAAAAAAGAAAGAAAGAAGAAAGATCATAAAAGAAATAATTGGAGGAAAATCTTCTGTGGGTAGAGGTTAGGTCGGAATGAGAACACACTTCAATGGCGCTGGCGGGACTGGAGAAATGGCTCCGTGGTTAAGATCACATATTGTCCTTCCAAAGGACTCAAGTTCAATTCCTAGAACCTATGTGGAGGTGGCTCATGACCATCTTTAACTCCATCTCCAGAGGACCCAACAGCCTCCTTTAGAACATACACACAGACCCACACAATAACCCTCTCTTGCTAGGTCAAAGTACAGTCCTTTCCCAAAGACCTTATTGTAGAACTGGTAGCACTGTAGTAACACATTAATCATGTCTATCATATCTGCTGGTAGGTAGGCGTGCTGTGTAAGAGGTTCATTCATATTAAAATCCCATCGACTGCAGGAGTGTGACTCTTCGCCTTGGCCCAGATTTCCAAACTTAAGTCCTTCCCAAATAATAAACATGGAAAAGACAAAGTAGAAGCTAGATTTGTGCTGGGATACTTTGAGTGGAGAGAAAGGGAACACATGCTTGCACCTCTTATCTCTAAGACGCACAATCAGGCAACTAGCTCATACAAGCCTTATGACCCGAGTTGTGGAGATGGAAAAAAAGGGACCTTGTCATCGAAAGAAAGACACAGCAAGGGAGCAAACAGTTTGTAATGCAGACGCCTGCATCCACAGAAAGTTCCCACAGCCAGGCTTGCTAGCGCTCCTTCTTGCAAGCCTTTTTCTGCAGGTGTTACACAGTTTTGTTCACTTCCGTTTCTTTAGTGTCTGTCCTTCAGCGATCACACACACTGCCATTTCCACCCTTTAGGCACGAGCCTAGGTTTCTCTAAAGAGCACAAGATCTGATGTTCTCCTTTATATTCGGAACCCAGCAGCTGAGTCAGCGATCGGCACGGGCGGGGACCCCAGCTCCGCCCCTGCCCGCCCTCGCGCCCTTGGGTCCCCGGCTCCTGGGATCTGGAAGGATTTCACGCAGCCGGCGTGGATCTCCTCCTCTGGACCGGGAATGTGGAGTCCAGGCCCCGTAGAGCGTCCGCTGTCTGCGCATCCAGTCCGCGGCGGTTGAACCCCGAGTCGCCGGCGAACCGAAGCAGCGGCTCATGGACACAGCGGAGTCCCGGGCTCCTGCGGGGACAGGAGGTGACTGTGATCCGCGCAGTCGCGCGCTGCCGCTCGCTTCTGGCCTGTCTCTTTAACTAGGATCCAGTAGGCTTACTTTTGCTTTTTTTGTTTATTTATTTTCCTGAGCCCATCAACCAGGGTGGGGCCTGACCTGACTATGGGGTCCAGGCCAGCATTTCTTTTCTCAGGTTTGAGGACTGGGTATAGGTACTTCCCAAAGCTATGCTTTGTAAGTAGGGGGTTTCAGAATCCCTTCAAATTAACACCACATCATCAGTCCTAAACCGTTTTCTTTGGTCTCCAGGTATTTATTTGCTGGCATTCTCCTTACTTTTAACTTTTTCTCATTTTCCTTCTTCAACTTGGGCATATTTTAAAGGATTCTTAAGACTTCCTCATCTTGCACGGGATTTTTCCTCCTGGCCTACAGTAGCTATCTCTGGAAAATCAGCAGATTAAATGCATTTTCTTCTCTTTTGTTCCCCCTCAGAATCATTCAAAAATGGATAGGAAGGGGCTGGAGAGATGGCTCAGTGGTTAAGAGCACTGACTGCTCTTCCAGAGAACCCAGGTTCAATCCCTAGAACCCACATGGCAGCTCACAACTGTCTGTCACTCCAAGATCTGACACTCTCACACAGGCAAAATATCAATGTACATAAAATAAGAATCGGACATTTGAAACTGAGTCAATTGATTGGTTCCTTGACAGTTTAAATATGGAAACAAATACTTAATGAGCAATTGATTCAAAAGACTAGTAATTAGTATTGACGATGACTTGATTATGACTTCATTTAAGTATTTGTGAGTCTTGTGTTTCCAGAATGTTAAGTTTACCAATTGAATGACTGGTAATGAGCCAGCATGACTCTGGTAAAGACTAGCATTACCCATTTAAACATTTAAGCCCTGACTGAATCTATGTAGCATGTGAAACCAGGAGCTTGAGAAAATGAGATGTCTTTCTTTAGAGCCTGATACCCTTGACAAAGCACCCTGGAGCTCATCATTGTAGGGATTTCTGAAAGAGTGGGCATGTTGGTCCATCTCATTGTAAATCGAGGTAGATCAGAAGAAGGCTTAGTATTTTCTGTACTGAAATTCTGATACAAGAGTCTATGCATGAAAACAATGTTTCAAATTTGCAGTGATATTCCAGGATTGTTTTGTGTTGGGTCACAGTGGCTATAAACAGCTGTATTTAGAATAGCCTTTTAGCTCATCAAGTGTTTTTTAGAGTCTTCTAACTCCACAGTAACATGTCACTTGTGTGTTTTACCCAGAATCCCACTTACACCCCTGTAATGGCAATATGTTTGCATTTAAGATGGCTCTGGAGGAAGTCCAGGAGAGACATCGAGGAGACTTTCAAGAGAACAGCTTTGTGTACTGGTGTCGGCAGCTTCCTTAAACTTGGGTTGCACGATGGCCTATTCCATCCTTGGACCGTTTTTCCCCAAGGAGGTAAAACATTTTGTATCTGCATAGACTAATCTTTAGAAAGCCCTTCAGTTATATAATTTTAGAGGATATAAAATGTAAGATTATGGGGGCAGTGGAGGGCAGGGGCTGGGCAGTCAAGAGTGTGTCCTGCTCTTCCAGATGATCTGAGTTAAGTGGCCAGCACCCACATCAAGAAGTGCATAACTATCCAACTCTAGCTCTAGAGGGCTCTGGTGCCTCTGGCCTCTGTGGACATCAGTTCTCACATGTAAATGTCTCCATACAGACACATACGCATACACACATAATTAAAAATTTCAAAATCGGTAAAATATAAAAATGTGCCTAAAGTATAGATAATATTTGTGTGTTTTGTATGATGGTGTGTATACTGTGTATGTGTGTGTGTGCTTGTGTGTGTGTGTATTAGCCCATGTGTGCACAGAGGCCAGAGGTCAATATCGGGCATCTTCATCAAGACATTGTTTCTTACTGTCCTTGGCATGTACCAGTTCAGCTAGACTGACTAGCCAGCAAGCCCCTGGGATCCTCCTGCCTCCACCTCGCAGGGCTAGTATTACAGATGTGTGCCCACAAGCTCAGCTTTGTACGTGGGTTCTGGGGATCCAGCTCAGGTCTTCTTGGTTAGACAATAGGCACATTTCCTAGACTCATTTCCCTAGCCCTCCTCCCCCACCAAGAGAATATTTCCTAGTGTTTAATATCAGAAAAAAAAGAAACATCCTCTTACTGGGTAATTCTCCCCAAATATGCTTGACTTCCTAAGGATTATTTATTTTACCATGTAGTTTGATTAATCTTTACTTGGCATCTATAGCTGAAAAAGGAGATTCACCAAATGACCAAGATGTGACCAAAAGGCTATAACTCTGTCTTCTGGTGTTGGAAATATATATATGAATTAAGTTGTTTGTAGCCAAGTGTGGTGGCTTATGCCTTTAACCCAAGTACTCAGAAAGCACAGGCAAGCAGCAGATTCTAGGAGTTTTGAGACCAGCCTGGTTTATAAGTGAGTTCCAGGCAGACATGGTCATAGAGTGAGACTCTGTCTCCAAAGTGGGGTAGTCCAGCATATTCATTCTGAATTTATTATTCACTCCAGCAGTAATATTTACACGAAGGAAGGATTCTGATTAAGGTTGACAGGCTCCCTCTAAGCTTTGCCGTTTACATGGTGTTAGGAACTGTAGCTGGTGGTGCAGATGTTCACCTGGAGTATAGAGTCCATGCATATAATATGGAACAAAGGGAACTAGATTGGGAAAGTTCAGACAATAAGTCCAAACGTTCATTTTGTGCCTCTTGCCAAAGTTTTAGGTTCACAATGCACTGACAACTTCTCAGTTCTCAAACTGCCTTGACAACATGTAGTCCTTCATAGGGTATGTAACCAGAAAGGCTTTTCTCCTAAAAGCACGATGTGGCTCCACACCCAAACAAAACTCACTGGTCTCCAACACATGTTGCCACCCATTCATCCACTTGGTGTCTACAACAATCCCATAAGAGGAGAGAACAGCGAGGGTCCCATCGCGTTACTTTAAGATAGCAGTCTCAGACGTGACGGGCTTTCCTAGTTATTCCAATTTTACCGGAGGGTCCAGTTCCTCCTCTGGGTTCATCGAGTTGAACATCTGCCCAAGCAAAGAAAAGTCAGGAAGTGCCCCTGTCTTGCTTGTTCATTATGAATCAAAAATATGAGAAAAGGATGGAGAGGAGGAGGAGAATTGATACAGGCTGTGGGTATCCTTTAAGGTAAAGATGGGCAAGAGTGATGGTACTGAGGAGGGAAGAATGCTTCACTATCGTTGGGCAGAATCAAGCCAAGGAGAAAGGTGCGGTCCTGAGACTTTTTCAGGTTCAGGGAGGTGTGGCGTGAGAAATGGAAGCTTCTACAGTAAATGACAGAGAAGTGATGATACTGAAGGGGGAAGAATGCTTCACTATCCTTGGGCAGAATCAAGCCAAGGAGAAAGGTGCGGTCCTGAGACTTTTTCAGGTTAAGGGAGGTGTGGCGTGAGAAATGGCGGCTTCCATGGTAATAGAGAGATCGTTGCAGATGTGGTCAGGGAAGAGCAGAGTGAATGGCATATTCTTACAGAATAGGAGAATGACATATTCTTATAAAACAGGAGACAGCTCACTGGGGCTTATATTTAGGGCACAGTGAGACCTTGATAGAAGGCTGTGGCTCTGAGGGGCAAGTTGCAGCTGGAATTCAAGAACTCTGGGATGTATACCCAGGACCTGGTCGCTGGGAGAGCATCAGTGTTTGGTCAGATTTGGGTTTTGTGATAACACGGTGATGGGAGCCTCTAGAGCAGTGGTTCTCAACCTCCCTAATGCTATAACCCTTTAATATAGTTCCTCATGTTATGGTGACCCCCAACCTTAAAATTATTTTCATTGCTACTTCATAACTCTTATCATGAATCAGAATGCAAATATCTGATGTGCAAGATATCTGGTGCGCCACTCCTGCCAAAGTGGTCGTGACCCACAGGTTGAGAACCACTGCTGTAAGGTTATAGAAGGTGTCTTAATTAGGGTTTCTATTGCTGTGATGAAACACCTTGACCAAAAAGCAAGTTGGGGAGGAAAGGGTTTATTCGGCTTATACTTCCATATCACTGTTTATCATTGAAGGAAGTCAGGAGAGGAACTCAAACAGGACAGAAACCTGGGGGCAGGAGCAGATGCAGGGGCCATGGAGGGGTGCTGCTTACTGGCTTGTTCTTCATGGCTTACTTGGCCTGCTTTCTTGTAGAACTTGCTGGGGTGGCCTCACCTACCATGGACTGGGCCCTGCCCCATCAATCACTAATTAAGAAAATGCCCCACAGGTCTTTCTGCCTATAACCTTATCTTATTGAGGCATTTTTCAATCGAGGCTGCCTCTTCTCCAGTTGACTCTAGCTTGTGTCGAGTTGGTATAAAAATAGCCAGCATAGGAGGGGGAAACCAACAGAAATTCAGTTTCTCCTGCTGTGTATTCACAACACAGATTACCTTTGTGGCCTCAAAAGGCATAGTGAGGTCTCCTTTTTCTCCAGCAAGCAAGTAACTCTTCAGCAGCAGACACGGCGGTGTCCTCTAATCCAGGACAATTGTGACTCTGTCTGCTGGAGATTTCTCAGTCCCAGGGCTGCCCCCTGCCTTCAAATCCCAGTTACAGAACCCATGTTTTCTAAACTGGAGCTTCAGTTAAGGTTTATACATACCCCTCCTTGGATTCAATTGATTTGCTTAATTGGCCACAGAACTAAGGTAAACACTTCAGGGTATGGGTTTTACTACATAGAACACACATGAGGCAATGCACTGGGTGATATGTCACTAATGAGGAGCATCCACATTTTCAGTCTGTGTAGAAACTCTAGGAACCCTGTGCCTTCGGGGTTTTGTGGACATGATCATTTAAAGACTGGGTGTAGAGATTCAGTCAGGCCTGACAGTCCCAGTTTTTTCATTTTCCTTATAATATTCCTCCCTCAGGATATGAGATAGAACCCATCTGGAATGAGAAGGATCTTGTAACCTGCCAGACAAGCTAGATGAGTTACAAGCTAGGAACTAATTCTCTCTCTCTCCCTCTCCCTCTCCCTCCCTCCCTCCCTCCCTCTCTTTCTCTCTCTCTCTCTCTCTCTCTCTCTCTCTCTCTCTCTCTCTCTCACACACACACACACACCACACACACACACACACACACACACACACACACACACACACACGGGCTGGTAGGATGGCTCAGTGGGTAATGGCACTGAGTTCGTCCCCCTGAACTCATGTGGTAGAAGGAGAGAACTGACCCCACAAGTTGTCTTCTGACTTCTACATGTGTGCCATGGTACATGCATCCTCCCCCCATCCCCACCATACACATACACATGGAGGGAGCAATGAAGTGAAAGCTCCTATCTTAGCTGGAAAATCTGTTCCCATTAAGTAACCCTGAAAGTGCAATTAAGTCTGGGGCTGGGGGTAAGGCTGTCCTCCCTACCCCGACAATAGGGAAATGAGGAAAGGTGAGATCCCAAAACTCTCAGGACTGGGTTAGTGGCTCTGGCGTCCAGAAGGAAAGAAACGGATTGCTTCCATGCTGTGTTCTGAGTTCCCTGCTAACAAGCCTGTGGCCAAGCCTAGGCCTGCTGAAGGTCTTAGCTTGATGTTCCCTTTCCCTTTGGTGCCTGGGTGCAGTCAGCTGACTGGTTGTCTTTCTAGGTGGCATTTTGAACAAGGCTCAGTTGATGGCCTGGCAGGGCATGCACTAGCCCGCGTGCCCCCCCCCCCCCCACTTAAAACAGGGACCCAGAGGCTTTTGGGAGTCAGCGTGTGCCAGCACTTGGCAATTTAAATGCCACAGCTGAAACTTCTGTCTGTGGGATCAGGAACCTTGCTCTCCAGATGCTTAAGTTTTAGCGCTTTGTTGGAAAGATCTGGGGGACAAGAAATGGATTTTACTCCATGTCTTGAATTTTTTTTCCCTTGATGTCTGCTGGCTTGAGGACAGCTTTAGGAAGACACACCAAGAGGCAGGGTGTGAACTGATCTCTGGCTAAAGAGCCATCCTGACTACTGTGATCCCCATGTGGGTCCTGATCGTAAACTTACTTGCATGTATCTTAGCTTGCTTCCAGACCCGTCTGTGTTTCTCAGGGCAGCTTGAGAATGAGTGTGAAGAGTTAAGGTGAGTTAAAGCCCACCCAATACCAGATAGTGGAGAGTGGAAGTCAGACAGAAGTGGTTGCACATGGCAGAGAAAGAATCAGAAGTGGAGAAGGAGAAGGGTTCAGAGCTTTGGTAGAAAGCTTGAGGATAAGGTAACTCTTTTCATTTGCCTGTTCACTGGCAGAAGTTAGATAATTCCTATGAAATATCGGGATTGAAACAGCCAAATCTACTGGTATCTGCCCTTATGTCCCATGGCTGCAGCCATTAAAATAATGAACCGGGATCAGACTCCAGTCCCAGGTGTCCCTGGGGTAGGAGAAGGATCTATGAATCAGTACGGGTTACTCCCTGCTTCATCAAGAGAGGAGTAAGGGCTGGGAGTGTATGCAGCACGAGGACCCTCCGGGGGTCTGACAGCACTGACCTTTTTGTCTAGAGAGAGAGAATGAGTTGGTGCCAGCGCAGCCTGAAGACCCCCTGGGGGTCCGGCGTGAGGAATATAGCTCAGGCTGCAGATGTGGGAAATGGTGGGGGACACACCAATCATGGCAGCACATGTGGTGGGGGGGGGGGAGATGCGGCGGCTGTGGTCGCTATTGTGGTGGAGCGAGCACAGTCCCAACTCAGTACCAAGATGGTGGCGACTGGGCAAATGAAAAAAGCGGATCCGTGCCCAGCAACAGAGAAATGGATGAGATCTACATGAGCAAACTGGGGGTGAGGGGGGCTAATGGAGGGCAAGGGTCAGGAAAAAGCGATCTTAGGGGAGCGAGAGGTCCCATCTGGATCAGGAACAGAGTGGGAGAACAAGGAAAGAGACACCATGATAAATGAAGACCCCAGGGGAATAGGAAGAAGCAGAGTGCTAGAGAGGTTCCCCAGAAATCCACAAAGATACCTCTGCTATAGACTACTGGCAATGGTTGAGAGAGTGCCTGAGCTGACCTGCTCTGGTGATAGGGTGGCTGAACACCCTAACGGTCGTGCTAGAACTGTCATCCAATGACTGGTGGAAGCAGATGCAGAGATTCACTGCCAGACCCCAGGTGGAGCTCCAGGAGTCCAACTGGCGAGAGAGAGGAGGGATTATATGAGCAAGAGATATCGAGACCATGGTTGGAAAAAGCACAGGGACAAATAGCAACACTAGCGGAAACACATGAACTGTGAACCAATAGCTGAAGACCCTCCATGGAACTGGACCAGGCCCTCTGGATAAGTGAGACAGTAGATTAGCTTGAACTATTTAGGAGGCCCCCAGGCAGTGGGACCGGGACCTGTCTTTGGTGCATGAGCTGGCATTTTGGAGCCTGGGGCCTATGCTGGGACACTTTGCTTAGCCTTGGTGTAGGGAGGAGGGGACTGGACCTGCCTCGGCTGAGTCTACCAGGCTGGGCTGACTCCCCGGGGGAGACCTTGCCTTGGTGGAGGTGGGAATGGGGGTGGGTTGGGGGAGGGGGAAAGGTTGGGGTGTGGGAGGAGGAAGGACAGTGGAATCCGAGGCTGATACGTAAAATTAAATTAATTATAAAATAAAAATATTAAAAAAAAAAAAGGAAGAAAAAAGCAGATCCAGGTCAGGCAGTTGTTGGTTCTATGTATAGGTTTCTGACAACGCTCAGCCCCGGACGCCGAGTGAATGACGTTTCCTATCCGAGTCCACCGCACCAATGAAAGGATGATAAACGGCATGCGGGTTCCTGGCAGAAAAGTCACGAGCCACCGCCACGGCTACCTAGTTACAAAGACCTTTATTTGGGGAAAGAGGGGACCAGGCCTGGGGAGGAGAGAGAGAGAGAAAGATGGGGGGCGAGGGGGATGGAGAGAGAGCAGAGTGGAGAGAGCAGAGAGAGAGGAGGGGGTCTGCGTCTGGCTTTTTAAGTGAGTATGTAGTTGCCAACACACACCGATGATGGAAGATGCAAGAACACACCGCCCACCCCTCAACTCCTGAGCTGTGCGTGTGTGGCCATGGAGCTGGAGAAAGGGCAGAAACCCAACACAATGCCTATGCTTAAATCTATTTAAAATACAATAAACTCCATCTGTACCTCCTAAGAGGCTTCAATGTTGGTCCATATTGACTTGTCTTGAAATTCTTTCTCTGTAGTGAAGTAAAGAGTATTGGCCATAGGCTGGGGACACAGCTCAGTGGGTAGAGTGTTTGTCTAGCACACAGAAAGCCCTGTCTTTGATCCCTGGCATCCCATCCACAAGTGTGATTGTACATGCCTGTAATCTCACAACTCAGGAGATAGAGGCAGGAGGATCAGGAGGAATTCAAAGCTAGCTTCAGCTATATAACAAGTCTTAGACCACCTGGGGCTACATTAAACCTGCCTCAAAGAGTCTTAAAAAAATAATAAAATAAAAAGAATTTCAAGTTCAGCTGAGTAGAGGTCTCTGAAGAGAACATCTCAGGATGATAGAGGGGCAGCATAGAGATCTGTCTCTGGCCACCACCTCACTGGGGCTCACAGGGCAGCCATACTTGCACAGTTTGAAAAGGGTTTTTAGAGTCTGGAGAGATGTCTCAGTGGTTCAGAACACTCACTGCTCTTGCGAAGGACATGAGTTCAGTTCCCAACAGTGGTTCACAACTACCTGAAACTCCAGTCCCAGGGGATCCATGCCTCCACAAACTCCTGCACGAATGTGGGTGCACATACTTACACTCAGGTACTCACACAAAAGTAGATTCAGAATAAGTGCTGTATCATCTGTAGCAAAGTTCAGAGGTCCCTGGTGGGACAGGCTATAAACGTTAATAATTCCAGCATGTGGAGAGTAAAATACCCTCGGGTGTCAGAACAGTGTGGATGGTGGGGAGCATCCTTTGTCTGTATTGCTCACCAGAAGGAAGGAAGGCTCTTCCCAGATTGAGCATGGCAGGAGCCATGGAGCAGACCAGAGGGCCTTCATATGATCTACTTGCCAGTTCATGGCATTTCCTCTCCTTGAGGCTTTTTTTTTTTTTTTGTTTGTATTTGTTTTTGTATATTTTCTTCTAGAACTGACAATTGGCACGAGATTTGTTTTGTTTCTGTTTTTGGTGGAGGGCAATTCTGTAACTAGAAGTGTGGCTAAAAAGGAAGTCTGTCTACATCAACTGTTTCCTGAGCCCCGTGACAGAGACAGAGTCCAGATTTCCTCTTCTGAAGTATTTTGTATTTTGTTTCTTTATTTTCTGTAATACTGACTTTTATCCAGTTAAAGGGAATTCTTTATAGGTATACTAAGTGAATTATTTCACATCAGTGTCTAGATTTTAGCATCTACTTTCCAGTCTTTCCTTACCCTATTTATTTATTTATTTATTTATTTTTTGGTTTTTCGAGACAGGGTTTCTCTGTGTAGCTTTGCGCCTTTCCTGGAACTCACTTGGTAGTCCAGGCTGGCCTCGAACTCACAGAGATCCGCCTGGCTCTGCCTCCCGAGTGCTGGGATTAAAGGCGTGCGCCACCACTGCCCGGCACCCTATTTATTTTTAAATAAAAATTTTAAATATCAGAAATGGGAAGGTTTGAGCAGGGAGGCAGGGTAAGGGCAGGGCAATCAAAATTAGGTACGTATAAAAATGTTACAAGGAATCTGCTGCTTGGTAAGTTCATTTTTTACAAAAAGAATGCTTATTATATGGAAGTTGTAGCACCTCCCCAAATCTTGGAAATTACTATACATACATGGAAGTCACAAGGTGATGCTCCAACCTTCTCTTGTCTTCCCACCAATGCTGTCTTGTCTTTCTAATTTTGTTCCCATTTCTTCTAAGGCAGAAAAGAAGGGGGCCAGCAACGCCATGATTGGGATGATCTTCGGATGCTATGCTTTATTTGAGTTGGTGGCATCTTTAGTGTTTGGAAAATATGTAAGTATTGGAGCTCACATACATATTTTAATTTTCAAAAATCATGTGGTACGTTACCATAACTTACTAATCTAGAATGTCTATGGATATGGAAGTGATACCATTCCATTTTTATAAGTTATGCCACAGCTCCACCATTGTGGTTGATTAGTTAGTCCCTTCCATGCTTATAAACTGTTTGCATTGCAGTTCTTTTAAATGATTATTATTTTTTTTTAAAGATTTATTTATTTATTATGTATACAGTGAGTGTTCTGTCTGCAGGCCAGAAGAGGGAGCTAGATCTCATTGTAGGTGGTTGTGAGCCACCATGTGGTTGCTGGGAATTGAACTCAGGACCTCTGGAAGAACGGCCAGTGCTCTTAACCTCTGAGCCATCTCTCCAGCCCCTTAAATGATTATTTTAATATGATGTTAACTACACATGCTTTTCTGCAATTTTGTATGCTCTGCTATAGTGGATTTGTTTACGTAAATGTAGACATGTTGAAGCAATCCATTTATCTGTCTTCTTTGACTTTATTATAGCTTGTACAAATTGGAGCCAAATTTATGTTTATAGCAGGAATGTTTATCTCAGGAGGAGTTACAATTCTCTTTGGGTAAGTAACTTTCAAAAATGTTTGGAAACATGGACAGATTTCATAGTCTGTTGGCTAAAATGTTAATGGCTTTGAAGTTTTTCTTAAAATTTTATTGTTATTATATGTGTATGATGGTGGTGCTGTACATGTGGATAGAGGATAACACTGTGACATCGTTTCTTTTGCTTCACCTTTACATGGATTCCAGGTACTGAACTCAGGCTGCCAAGTGTATGCTGTGAGTACCTTATCCACTGAGACATGTCACTAACCCATTAATGGCTCTTCTTTATTTGTTTTTGTTTTTAGAGAGAGTGTTTCCTCTGTGTAGATTTGGCTGTCTGTAGACCAGACCAACTGGCCTTGAACTCACAGAAATCCACCTGCCTCTGCCTCCTGAGTGCTGGGATTAATGGCATGTACCACCACCACCTGCAATTGATGGCTCTTTAACCAATCAGTACCAATCACTCCTATATTGTCAGATGAATGGCATGTGACTAATGGTGGAGGGAGATGGTGAACAGCAAAGAGAAACATCATTGGTCTTAAGAAGAGTTCTCCAAGACTACCTACTAAACAGCCTGCTGAACCAGACATGGTGCTCCCCATCTGTAATCACAGCATTTGGGAGGCAATGCAGGAGGACCTCAAGTTCCAGTCCAGCCGACGCTGTCTCAAAACTGCAATAGAGACCCAGACAGTGGTGTCACACGCCTTTAATCCCAGCACTCAGGAGGCAGAGGCAGAAATCTGTGAGTCTGAGGCCAGCCTGGTCTACAGAGTGAGTTCCAGGACAGCCAGGACTGTTACACAGAGAAATCCTGTCTCAAAAACAAAAAGAAGAAGAAAAAGAAGAAGAGGAGGAGGAGAAGGAGGAGGAGGAGGAGGAAGAAGGAGAAGGAGAAGGAGGAGGAGGAGGAGGAGAAGGAGAAGGAGAAGGAGAAAGAGAAGGAGAAGGAGAAGGAGAATAAGAAGAAAAGGCGATAGAGAAAACAGAACCGTGGCTCTCCTGAGTGCATCCACTGGCACTCCTGTGGATGCTCATGATGGGAACATAATAGTCTTCTGAGTCATAGAAACTCTTTGCTTAAACAGGAAAGACCATCTATTTCTTACAGGATCAACTCAAAGACACCTGGCTCCAGGTGCTGAAATAGCATTATCAGAAGTCGTTCTTAGCTTCCTGCTTTTCTCTCCTCTTCCGGTGCAATGTTCCTACACAAGCTCCTAGAACCCTCCTTTTCTTTTGTTGTTTTTGAGACAGGGTATAACTACGGAGCCACGAGTGGCCCGGAACTTGCTATGTATACCGGGCTAGCACTGAACTCATAGAAATCTACCTGCCTCTGCCTCTGATCCTGAGATTAAAGGCATGGCCTTGCTCTTTCATTTCAGTATTCTAGCTATTTCCTAATAACAGTGTAACAACTGTTGACATAGCATTTACCTTGGACCAGGTATCAAAAGTATCCAGAAAGTAACTTAAGGGCTGTAAGCATAGCTCTGCACCAGAGAGAGTACTTGCCCACTACCATGGGTGAAGCCTTGGGTTTAGCACAACACCATAATAAAGAAGCAAATAATTAAAAGTAAAGATGCGTTTGGTAAGATGAGCATCAGTTATAGCAGACAACATGTTTTATGTCAGGGACTTGAGCATCTTTTGATACCTAAGGTAGATCCTGCCATCACAGTGTTCTCTGGATTCAGGGGACCACTTTATTCCAAAGAGGCCTCCTTAGTATTATCATCTCAGAAATCAGTTATAACAACAGAAAGGGATAGCTAAGCTGTCATTATGTGTAGATGTAACCAACCGTCTTATTAAACAAGAAAGACAGAGCCGATTCAGAGAAGAAAGCCAAGAGGTCAGAGCTAAGAGCCTCACCCTTCCTGCTTCAGCGATCCTCTTCAGCCAAGAGAGCTCTCTGAAAAGGAGCTACTTCCTGTGTGTTTGTCTTTATAAAGACTTTTGGTTCTGCCTTCTTATTGGTTGTAAACCCAAACACATGACTGCTTCGTCACTGCCTGTATGTACAGCCCTCTAGGTCCTCTATGGTATTGAGATTAAAGGCGTGTGTCTCTAATGTTGGCTGTATCCTTGAACACACAGAGATCTACCTAGCTCTGTCTACCAAGTGCTGGGATTAAAGGCGTGCGCCACCACCACTGCGCTCTTGCTATGGCTCTAATAGCTCTGACCCCCGGGCAACTTTATTTATTAACATACAATTAAAATCACATTTCAGTACAAGTAAAATACCACCATAATTATGACTTGAATTATAACAAAAATTAAAAACAGCAATTCCCTATAGAAAGTGTCACAACCCAACTCTTTAAAGGATTTCTAGAGAGACTTTATCTAATCACTTTGGATAGTATGGCTATTTTCAAGAAATAGAGTGAATTAAAAAATTAAAACCAGCTTGACACTTGACAATTGTATTTGTTTTCAGTGTCTTGGACCAACTTCCAGACGGACTCATATTTATTGTCATGTGTTTTCTGATGAGAATAGTAGATGCCATAGGCTTTGGTGCAGCAATAACAGCATCGTCTTCTATCCTCGCAAAGGCCTTCCCAAATAATGTGGCTACTGTGTTGGTATGTAATTTGAACTTTTTCTTATTTTCCTTCTGATGTGGCCAAAACACTTGTTTGATCTGTTCTTACATGTCTTCCCCAACTCTCTTGTGTATCGTTCCCCCTTTTATTGTGATTTCGATTTCCTGCAGTAAAGTGAGAAATAAAAGCACATCATTGCTGGGTGTGCTGACACATACCTGTAACCCACTACTTGGGAGGTAAAGGCTGGAGCATCAAAGTTTTAGGCCAGCATGGGTGACACAGTGAGTCACTGTCTGAAAAACAAAAACAAAGAAATGACGACCGTCTGAAATATTTAATTGTTCTTTATCAATAAAAACTCGGGAGTCAGATATGGGGTAAGAACCTGAACGATCAGAGAAGCAGTGGCAAAGTGACCAGTGACCTCCTGTCTCTTTGGTTCCTCCATCCATAAGGCCAAGACCCTCTCTAAATCTCGCCCTACTACTTCCCATCTCTCTCTCTCTCTCTCTTTTTTTTTTTTGAGACAGGGTTTCTCTGTGTAGCTTTGTGCCTTTCCTGGAACTTGCTTTGGAGACCAGGCTGGCCTTGAACTCGCCTGCCTCTGCCTCCCAAGTGCTGGGATTAAAGGCATGTGCCACCACCACCCGGCCCCATCTCTCTTTCTATCCTCAGTCCTCCAAAACCTCTATGGTTAGTTTGAGTCAGCTAGTAGCTAGCTCTACCCTCTGATTCAAAGCAAACTTTGTTGTCAGAATGCAATCAAATTATCACACAACAACTATCTGTGACAACTCTACCATAGGAGGAGAGGGTTTAAAAAGAAGGTGAGGCTGGGCGGTGGTGGCACACACCTTTAATCCCAGCACTTGGGAGGCAGAGCCCGGCGGATCGCTGTGAGTTCGAGGCCAGCCTGGTCTACAGAGTGAGATCCAGAGCAGGCACCAAAACTACACAGAGAAACCCTGTCTGGAAAAACCAAAAAAAAAAAAAAAAGAGAAGGTGAGGCCTGGAATGGTGACTCATGGCTTTAATCCCAGTACTCAGGAGGCAGAGGCAGGTGTATCTCTGTGAGTCTGAGGTCAGACTGGTCCACACAATAATGCCAGGCTAGCCAGTGCTACACAGTGAGATCCTGTATCCAAAGAAAAAAACAAAAAGGCACCTAAGAGACACTCAAGGTGCTCTTCCTGGTCTCTGCATGGTCACCTTGATGAGTCAACATGATCCCAATCATTTTTTTAAATCACCCTTAAAATAATTTTTAAAGATTTGTTTTCTTTTTTATGTTTATTAGTGTTTTGCCTGCATCTATATGTTATTTATTAAGTGGTGCTGTTTACCTTGCAAGAAAAGCCATGAGGTACAACAAAACCCACTATAAGAGTTCATTAAGGGAAGGGAACAGAAGGGGTATGCCTAGGCCTAGGAATGACCATGGAGGAAGAGAGAGGAGGAATAGGTGGAACCCAATTTTACAGGATCCCCCTGCACATGCGCACATGGACTTATGTAGCTGTGCCATGCATGTGCATAGATTGCATGACCATGCTGCACACAGATTATGTGATCATGAAGAGCACAGATTACGTAGGACATGAGGACCCAGGATGACTAAGCATCTTGCCTGGGCTACTGGACAGCGCATGCGCAGTCATGTAACTGGGGAGGTGGCTAGGAATTCTAACATTCCAGACTCTTTGTTTTTTATAAAAAAAATGGTGGGTGAATGGGAGTGGGGACGCTGTGTCTCCCAAAACTTCTTCTAGCTGACTCAGTGGGCATTGTTTAACTTTTGGGGGTAGGGAAGGGAGCTTTTGGGGTAGCTGGACATCCTGAGGTAGTGGATTGTCCTCCATCCATCGCCTTCCACTGCTTCGGGCTTGGTGATTATTTGGGTCTGACAAGGTGCTGTCGAGGCAGAAGAGGAAGTTTAGAAAAAATTTTACCTGGGTGGGGGGGTCCCCAAGGGGTCCCAGGGTGAGGGAGAGGGGGTCCTGGGACCAGTAAAGTTTGAATTGTACTTATCTGAAGTGGTTCTGACCTGTCCGGGTAGATTCAAGCTGGCTCTGGAGCTAAGAAGAGTTTTTAAACATATTAAGAAGCAGCCACAGGGAGTTTAAAATCTTGAGCCGGTAGCCGTATTATAATGTTTAGTACTCTGCTATCAGAATTTTATTGGTTAGTGTTAGGGAGAGAGAGAGAGAGAGAGAGAGAGAGAGAGAGAGAGAGAGAGAGAGAGAGAGAGAGAGAGAGAGAGAGAGAGACAGACAGAGAAAGAGAGACAGAGAGAGAGACAGAGAGAGAGAGAGACAGAGAGAGAGACAGAGAGAGAGAGAGAGACAGAGAGAAACCTGGAACATGCTTTTAATTTTCATCTGAGATAAGCCTTATCTGATACAAATCTCAAGGTACCTGTATTTTTTTTTATTAGTTTAACATCTAGAAGACACAGGTAATCAGTTGCTGAGGGCATTTAACAGTAATAGATTGTTATATTAAGTCTATTTTTTGCAGAGTCCATACCCTTTTGAGTCTGGGGGTGTAAATACCTCTGGACTGTTACTGTTCCTTACCACCTGGGTATACTTGATGGTCCTTGGCCTCCATCTCTATGATGGTCCTGTAGCAATGATCTGAGTAGTTAATTGGAAGTTTGAATACGTTATTAGAGACACAGAGAGAAACTGATGAAGCAGAATATGGTCAGTAGAGACAGGAGAGGGAATCAGGAAGGAAAAACTTGTGGGGTGAAACCTCATTCTTCTGGAATTGGTGATGCGGCAGTGGATCCTGGTGTTCTCTGGAACGTGAGAGAACAGGGCCCTGTCTGTGTTATTGTATATTAGGTTTACAGTGCCAGGCATTTTGAGACAAGATGTCACTCTGGCTGGCCTAGAACTCATAGAGATCTACCTGCCTCTTCTTCCCAAGTGCTGAAATTAAAGATGTGTGCTGTTATGCCTGATATTCATAATTCTTCAACTATAATACATTGAATTTTCTTTTGTTTTTTTACTTTTAGGGAGGCCTTGAGGTTTTTTCTGGACTGGGGCTGATAGTAGGTCCCCCTTTAGGTGGCTTTTTGTATCAGTCCTTTGGCTATAAGGTGCCTTTTATTCTTCTGGGGTGCATAGTTCTACTGATGATACCACTCAACCTATGTATTTTGCCCAGTTATGGTAAGTTCAAACTTAATACTCATTCTAGAATTTTACCTTTATTTTTATATGTCTTTGTAAATGATACATTTACCATGTATATTGTGTAACACCTCTTTGTAGTCCCCTCACAAGCTGGTTCTTTTTCATAAAATATGGGTAATTAGTTTATGATGATTTTTGCTTACAAAGGTCTAGGAATATAGCTCAATTAGTAGAGTGATTTTGTAGCATTCATGAAGCCCTAGGTTTGACCTCCAACTTCACATAAGCAGATTATGGTGGTGCATGCCTTTAAAGCATCCTCGGCTACATAGTGAGTTTGAGGCCAGCCTGGCATGCATAAGGCCCTTTCTTAAATACATAAAATAAAAAAAGCACACCACAAAAATTTCTAGGTTTAGGAGAAACAAATACTTTATTTTGGCTCACGAGCCATTATCATTGGGCTGAACTAAATTTTCACTAGAAATTCTGTGGGCAACACAGTTTGTCTGCAAGGCTGTAAGAACAAGGGAAGATTCCCACAAGTTCTAGATCACCTTTCTTTCTTTCTTTCTTTCTTTCTTTCTTTCTTTCTTTCTTTCTTTCTTTCTTTCTCTGTCTCTCTCTGTCTCTCTCTGTCTCTCTCTGTCTCTCTCTGTCTCTCTCTCCCTCCCTCCCTTCTTCCTTCCTTTTTTTTTTTTTTTTTTTTTTTTTTTTTTTTTTTTTTTTGGTTTTCGAGACAGGGTTTCTCTGTGTAGCTTTGTGCCTTTCCTGGAACTCACTTGGTAGCCCAGGCTGGCCTTGAACTCACAGAGATCCGCCTGGCTCTGCCTCCCGAGTGCTGGGATTAAAGGCGTGCGCCACCACCGCCCGGCTCTTTTTTTCTTTTTAATAAGGTCTCTCTACATAGCTGTGTGTAGATGGACTTTCTTTTGGGTCTCCAGCTCACAAAACACAAAACACAAAATAAAAAACAAAAACAAAAAACCGACATGGAGATGTATTAATTATGAAAGCTCAGCTGATAGCTTAGGCTTGTTTCTAACTAGCTCTTATAACTTAATCTAACCTATTTCTATTCACTTTTTGTCTTATGGCTTTATTACTTCACCTCCATATTGCCCATCCTGTTTGCTCTGTGTCTCTGCCCTTCTTTTTCCCAGTGTCCTCTGTGCCTGGAAATCCTGCCTAGTTATTGACTGTTCAGCTTTTTATTAAACCAACCACAGAGTGGTGGGGCAAGCGTTTTTCATGCTGTGAGCTTCGTTGTATGACACTGCAGCGAGTCCCTAAGTGCATGTCTTCTGCCAGTGCCGACAGAGGTCAGAAAAGGGGCATCATATCCCCCAAAACTGGAGTTAGAGATGGGTGTGAGCTGCCATGTGACTGCTGGGAACTGAACTTGTGTCTTCTGAAAGAGCAGCCAGTATTCTTAACCACTGAGCCTTATACTGTTGACAGATAATGCTTTTTGTATGCACAGGAAATGTAATAGCCTAAAACTAAAATCTTTTATAATTAAAAATTATTTTAATTTTAATTATTATTTGTTGTTGCTTTTTCATTTTTTTTGGTTTTCAAGACAGGCTTTTTGTTTTGTGTGTGTGTGTGTATCCCTGGCTATCCTGAACTCTCTGTAGACCAAGCTTGCCTCAAACTCAGAGATCTGACTACCTCTACCTTTATAGTGCTGGAGTTAAAGGCGTGCAGTACCACCACCCTGTTATTGTTCCCATTTTAAATTATATGTATGGGTGTTAGTATGTGTGTGTAAGTACAGATGCCCACAGAGACTAGAGGCATTGAATCTCCTGGAGCCAGAGCTACAGGTGATTGTGAGACACCATATGTGGGTACTAGAAACTGAAGAGAACTATTCTTCGTTATTGAGTCATCTCTCCAGCCCATCTTTGTAATTTTCAATTCAAATTCAATACAATTCAAAATTCACACCTGGTTGACTCCCGGCTGGCAATATCTCTTTGTGCCACAAGGTGGCACTTGTTCCCTCTCTAAGTTGAAATACTGTTGTCCTTTTATTAAATGGTTGCTGCCTTTTAAGCCACAGCTGTCTGAATTAGCAACTGCAATTCCTCAGCTCCCAGCAGTGGTTAGGCCACAAGGGCTGTAGCCAGAGGGAAATCTGTTCTTTCCGACTGGGCTCCAACTCTCTCAAAGTTATGAAGAGAACTTAACTAAACCTCTCTCCCGCTAAAGAACTCAAGATTCAAAGGTTAAGGTGGAATTCTGCATTTCAGCGGCTGAATAGCAAGTAGTTCACCTCCTCTCCTTGCTCTCATCCTCCAAAAAGCCCTCAACTCCCCCCACCCCTCCTTATAAACCCTTTCTCGCCTGGCTCCTCCCTACCACTTCCTGTCAGCTAGTTAATGAGGTAGCCTCCTGACAGCTGGTGAATTTTATTTAATCAAACACACCTTTGCATCATTAAACAAACATTCCAGAGCATAAACAAAGGTAAGACACCTTGAAGTAATATTCTACAACAACATACTGCAGTTTGGGAGTTGAATTTAGAGCTGTGCTTTTGAGTAACAGGCTGATAGTCTTGACTTAATCTCTGTATTCTGAAAACTTCCTGAGAATATTACTGAAAATAGCAGAAGCTTGTACACTTTTTGAATTTTTGGACTTTGCATATGCATGGTCGTTGTGAATGGTGATGATGAATGCCTGCTGTGGGCAAAATGAGGGTCTGTGAGGGCTGATCCCGACCCTCATTGAAGTTCCGTGTTCACATCCAGTGTTGTCTCTGTACAGGATCACAGTAACCAGTTCTAACTAAGTTCCTGAAATGCAGGTGACAGGACTCTGCGCCAAGTGCCTGAGCTGTTCTCTTTGTGGAATCCCCAGTGATTTCTCAGACTCCTAAGCATATTTTAAGAGCCACACAGTCACTACATACTTTTCTACAATGACCTTTTCTTAAATAATATGCCTGGGGTGCCGGAGAAATGACTGCATGGTTTAGAGCACTTCCTGGTCTTCCTAGGACCGGAGATCAATGTTAAAAACTTCCTAAAGAGGGAATAAAGCAGTCACTATGACCAGAGGCTTGCAGGTAGCCATGCCATGAGAGTACTAATCTTAAATGATAAAAGTAGTTCACACAAGATTCAGTCTCTCAATGTAGTGTTTATTTTGCTGTCAGAAAAATAACCAGGTCTTGTTTTACAAAACAAAGGTGAGTCCCTCCTTAAGAACACACACAGAGCCTTGGTGAAGCTTGGATGGCTCTTTTTCTGCAGCTCTCCATTCCACTGTCCTATCCAGATGGCCTTACTTCCAGATTGTAACTGAAAACCTCACCACACACCCTGACTCCAGTTGCTTCTCTTCGTATTTGAAAACTTAAGGATTTGTATTTGAAAACTTAAGGATTTGTATTTGAAAACTTAAGGATTTTTAATTGGGTTTTGCTTCTGGTTTTTTGAGACCAGTCTTATGTAGCCCAGGCTGACTTCACACTCACTGTGTAGTGAAGGATGACCTTGAACTCCTGATCCTCCTACTTCTACCTCCCAAGTGCTGAGATGCCAGGCATACACTTCCATGCCAGGGTAAAAGTCAGTGTTTTACATAAAATCAGTTGTGGCTCCTAAAGTTGAAGAACTTACAAGCTAATGTGGATATTTAATTCCAGGCAATTCAGAGGTGCAGTTATTTCCATGACCAGATGGTCTTATCAGATAGCTTTGCCTCTCCAAGTAGGTTAAAGACAAAGGTAAGAGATGTTAATTGGTATGATGTATTTCTGTTCTTTATCTTTAACCCGCAGAGTCGGAGCCAGGTGAACACTCCTTCTGGAAACTTGTCTCGTTACCCAAGGTCGTTCTCATATCCTTCATCATCATCTCCTTCAGCTCCGGCTTCGGTTTCCTTGATCCCATCCTCTCTCTCTTCGTCTTGGAGAAGGTAAGCAGCCTGCTGGAGCACGGCTTTGTACTGGCGGCCATGATTACATATACTTGGGCTCTTCCTTTAGGGGGAGACCTTCAGCTGTGAGAAGGAGGTAGACAGGCAGCTGTGTTCTCTGGTGACCACGTCTTCCCTCAGTGCTGCTCCTTTCAACTAGGGGTGTGACTCTGTGATCTGGGGGTCTGATCCACTAGGAAGAAAGAGAGAGCCTTCCTCTAGTGTCTCCTTTTACCCAAGACCTTGCTCATGCCATTCCAGTTCTATGAGGCCATCTCCGAGGTTGCTTAACTATGACACATTTTCTCTTCTTCTGTGAGTTGTAATGAGGCATTAGGAGTACTCATTAGGTCTTTTGATGTGAGATAGCCTTCTCTCCCAAATGCCCTCTGTGTCCACTTACCTTTTAGCTATTTGTATAATAAGAGGACTATGTTCTATACTACAGAATAGGAGAAAGGAACCAAGAGTCTCCATTGCTGAAACATAAATGTTGAATTCATATTAGCTAATTTGCTTTTCCCTGTGACACACCACCCTCCTGCGTGCCTCACCCCCACCAACACCAAACCTGGGGCTAAGATCCAAGAGCATCACTTAACAAGCTCTGTGTATGAATCATTGTATACATAAAATTTGTGCAACACTATGTATGAAAATGCAGTTTGTAGAAATCAAATTATATATTTAATATCAAATGCTACCATATCAAACTTCTAGGATGTCTAATAAGTGGTTGGAAAATTTTTTCCCTCTTAGAAAAAAAAATATTTACCCATTCCTGGTACAAAGTAAGACAAAGTTAAGAGGAATGCATTGAAAGCTAATCTTGATGGTTAACTTGATTGGATGGACAAGTGCCAGGGAAATTAGTAAAGTGTATCTCTGGGTAAGACTTGAGGTTATTTCCAGACTTAGCACTGACTAAGCTGGGAATGCTCTGACTGTGGGCAGTACCATCCCAGAGGCTGGGGCTGGGATGAAAAAAGGGAAGAATGGAGAAAGCCAGTTAACACAGGCATCCTCTCTCTGCTTCCTGGCTGCTTTCATGTGAGCTCTCTGCTCTCCACACTCTCCCCACCAGGATGCTCTGAAGCCAGGAGCCAGAATAAATAACCACCCCCTCCCTTTACATTGTTCTCTCGGTTGTCTTAGTCACAGCTACAGACAGCTGAACAATACAAATGTGGGTGTAACTGATAGACTTCTGTTAATAGAGCTGGGGAAAAGAAGGAGGGAAAGGGGTGTGTTTATTTTAAAGAGAGACTTCACATGCTGCTCTAACATGGAATCTCTTTTCCAGTTCAATTTGCCAGCTGGATACGTGGGACTGGTCTTCCTGGGTCTAGATCTGTCCTACACCATTTCATCACCGCTGCTTGGTCTCCTCAGTGATAGGATGCCTGTATGTATCCTGACTTATATTTGAGTTGCTTTTGCATGGTTAGGTGTGCAGCCACTTCTCCAGAATTTTTAAGGTCCCTTACTTAAAGCAAACAGCGTCAGTTGGCCTGGTAGAGAGAGCCCAGTGTCTCCCGGCCTCAGCCGTTCCTATCAGCAGACTCAAGTTTAGTATTTCATATAAAGAAGAGTCTGATGCTAAATCTGCTGGAAACTGCTGGACCACTGGATTATTATTTTTATTTTTTAAGACAGACCTCACTATACAGCCCAGGCTGATGTGGAACTCAGTCCCCTTGCTCAATCTTCCCAGAGTCAGGATCACGGTCTGTTGTTGATATGACAAGCCTGGTTAGTATTATACCGTCTAAAAGTTTCCTTAATGACCCAGACAAAAAAATAAAACAGAAACCATGATCCTAATAACAAGGGCAGCGTCTTGGGCTCTTAAGAGTTATTGGACTTGATCAGATTATAAACTGATGGAGGGAAATTGACTTAGAAAGTGGGTATGAAGGAATAGCCCTGCAAGTGTGCATCAACCATTCCGTACCCATCTTGAACTGAGTCCCTTCGGCTCTCTTTCAGTTGGGCCTAACCTGTTTCTTTCTGCATGACTGATATGCAGAAACAGCACCATTAACCAGACTTCACATTTCCATGGCTGCTTCTGCAGCTTTAGTGCTTAGATTTTTCATTTTTCTTTCATTAGCTTTGCATATATATTTATAAGATGTATATGTTATGGAGAGTTACTTAGTAACCCAAGTGACAAAGAGCTAACGTTTTCTGTTTTTTAAAGATTTACCTTCATTTTTGTTTGTGTGTATGCTTATGTGTCTGTGTATGCCACATGTATATGGGTGACCTAAGAGACCAGGAGAGGGCAGTGGATCTCCTGGACCTGGGCTTCTAGCATTTGTGAGCCACCTGACACAGGTGCTGGGAACCAAGCTTGGGTCCTTAGAAGAGGACTAGTATGGCTCTAGTAGTGTAAGTGTTAATATTTAAAGTGATTGTTGACTTGGGACAATATTGAGAGAACTCTTAACCTCTGAGCCATCTCTCCAGACCCCAAATAACTAACATCTTAAACAATGTTTGGAGCTAAGTGTTAAGACATAATCTTAAGCCGGGTATGGTGGCAAATGTTAGTTACCCTAGCACCTGCAAGGCTATAGGACTAAGAGATAGTTCAATGCCAGCCAGGGCTATATAGCAAGACATTGCTCCTTGCTTTAAAAAGAAAGACATAGCCTGAATTAAGCAGTTTAGAAGGGATAATTTTTATTAGATATCATCTTAGACTGGTTAGACTGCCATAACAAAATATCAAAGACCTGGAGCACACATAAACAAGGAATACTTAGTTCTCACAGTTTTGCAAGATCCAGGCTCTTGCTTGGTGTTGAGGGCCACTTCTGACTCACAGCAACCCCACGTGGAAGAGTGGGAAATGCTCTCAGAGACTTCTCCTGTGAGGGTGTGGATCCCAGTCATGAGGGTTCCTCCTTCACTACCACATCACCTCTCCAAAGCTGACCTCCATGCACCATCGGATTAGGCACTAGAATAGCATATGAACCTGGGGCTTGGTGGGGAGGGATAGTCCGTTCATTCACTCTGCCATAGGTACTTTTAAATAATGTGTTTTGCGGCCGGGCGGTGGTGGCGCACACCTTTAATCCCAGCACTCGGGAGGCAGAGGCAGGTGGATCTCTGTGAGTTCGAGGCCAGCCTGGTCTCCAAAGCGAGTACCAGGAAAGGCACAAAGCTACACAGAGAAACCCTGTCTTGAAAAAACAACAAAAAAAATTAATGTGTTTTGCCTAGGTATTATGACACATTAGCAAGTTGCTTGGGGTGACTCCTTTTTAAATTCTTACATGTTTGGAATAGTTCATGATGTGCAAAGATTCTGTAACGTACCCCCTTCCCGGAGAAACTCTCTGCTCATCCCACCATCTTGCAAAATATCCTCCTTGCCTTTACATTTATCATCTGCCCATTTTCTCTTAAACGTAAAGTTTCATTTGCTTCAGTATATTTGGGTTTTTGGATGTCATTACTCTAATGATTTTTTTTAATTATTGTTTGATTACAGAGGGTCCTTTGGTTTAAGCTTTGAACTCTTTCTCTTTACCAGAATCTCAGGAAATGGTTTCTGATTTTTGGAAACTTAATCACAGCTGGGTGCTACATGCTCTTAGGACCTGTCCCCATTTTGCACATTAAAAGGTAACTTGTCTGGTTCCGTGTTTTTGGAGAAATAGTAATTATTTAATTCTTTTAAATGACTTAGTACTTCAAGCATTGCTATTTAAACATTGACTTTGACTTAGGATTGCATTGAACTGTTTGTGTGACTGACAATGCTTTATTCACTACAAGCTCACAGTAGTTTACAAATCTTAACACATTAAATCTTTATCAAATGGGAAAAACATTGATTCTTATCTATAAGGTTCTTTTTTGTTTTATTTTATAAATATTTTTATTTTATAATTAATTTAATTTTACATATAAGCCATAGATTCTCCTGTCCTCCCTCCTCCCACCTCCCAGCCTCCCACCCCCCCCAATCAACCCCCATTCGCACGCCCCTCCAAGGTAAGGTCTTCCCTGGGGATTCAGCCAAGCCTGGTATATTCAGTTGAGGCAGGTCCAGTCCCCTCCTCCCTACACCAAGGCTGAGCAAAGTGTCTCAGCATAGGACCTCAGTTCCAAAAAGCCAGCTCATGCACCAAGGAGAGGTCCTGGCTCCACTGCCTGGGGGCCTCCTAAATAGTTCAAGCTGATCAACTGTCTCACTTATCCAGAGGGCCTGGTCCAGTTCCATGGGGGCTCCTCAGTCATTGGTTCACAGTTCATGTGTTTTCACTAGTTTGACTATTTGTCCCTGTGCTTTTTCCATCACGGTCTCGATATCTCTTGCTCATATAATCCCTCCTCTCTCTTGCCGGTTGGACTCCTGGAGTTTTTTGTTTTGTTCTGTTAGCTGAGGCTGGCTTTGAACTCATGATCCTCCTGACTCCACCTCTCAAGTGCTAAGATTGCACCACATTACCGGGTCTTCTCCTGTGTTTCAACTGCACAGTTATTTGGAATTATTTCCAAAATAACATTTATTGCTAACAACCTTTGCTTGATACTTAAGAGAATACAATTGTGTTTTTCTGAGTCTTCCTTCTCATACATTGAGAGGGTAACCAAGTCTTTTATTGTTTCTGGGTCATCTATAGCATGTTTGCTCATTAAAGCTTATTTGCTATAATTTATTTACTGAAACAAAGTGAGCTTCTTGACCACTTCACATGTTTCTGGGAAAAAATAGCATCATGGGCCAAGGGCGATTCGGAGTCTTTTGGTTCTGGGTTTGGATTTTGGCTCTGTCACTAGGCATTGGAACTTAGATGAATCACTTAACTTGCAAGAGCCTAAGCTTTCTTGTCTATAAAAAGAAGCCAGGGCCAGCCACATGGTCAGCGCACTAAGATACTTGCTGCCAAGCCTGGAAACTTGAGTTAAAACTCCAGGATTTAACTCCTCGAGCTACATGGTGGAAGGAGAGAACTGATTTATTCGTGCTGTTCACTCATCTCCCGCCACCCATACAACAGTGGCAAACCTCCCCTCCAAAATTAATAAATAAATGTGATTTTTAAAAGGAACTAAAGCTAATATATATATGACAAGCCAGGCCCTTAATCCCAGCACTCCAGAGGCAGAGGCAGATGGATCTCTGTGAGCTCGAGGCCACGAAGGTACAAAACAAAACAAAACAAAATAAAACAAACAACAAAAAAGAATTACACGCATAATGTCTGACAGGTATTTAATTGGAGTCCAACACAGAATATCTGTCGGTTTCTAGTCTCTTCTTTTGCCCCCTCCCCTGTTTGTCATTGTTTAATTGAATTTCAAGATGAAATGATTAGATGAACATCAGCATTGATGTTGAGAGGGTTTTGTTATGGTGGGAGGGCCAGCTGGTTGTAGATGTGTAATATGTATGATTTTGTTATGGTGGGAGGGCTGGCTGGTTGCAGATGTGTAATATGTATGACTAAACACATGTGTGTGAAATGTGGAAGCAAAAGTGGTTCCAGATGATGCAGGAGATGCTTTTGCTGCAGCGGTGGAAGGCGCTAACACGAGCTCTCACTGAATGGAGTGGGACAAGATGGAAATAGGAGCGAAACAAGTCAACTATCTGTGAAGATAACTTCTCTGCCACCCTGCCCTCCTGGTTTTAAGTTTGTGTCTCTTAAAATACTAATGCTTTCATTTCCTCCCAATTCCTCTGCAGTCAGCTCTGGCTCATGGTGCTGGTGTTAGTCGTACATGGCGTCTCTGCTGGAATGAGTATCATCCCAACTTTCCCAGAGTTACTCAGTTGTGCACAGTAAGTTTCTGCGTGGTTTGAGGAGCTCTCTAGTGATGAGTGTGGTGGTGAGGGTAGGGGGGTGGGCGAAGGGGATGAGGGGTGAGGGTGGAGGGATAGGCAATCAGTCTCACCTCACTTGTTCAGTCCCATAGTTGTTGGATATTTGCCCAATAATATATCTTCATGATTTCATGGCAATATAAATCATATAATTAATAATGGAACCATACTGAAAATAACATGGTGACATTATATGCTAAAAGGTAGAAAAGGTATAGTTGGTTTAAATCGGTTAAAGGGAGAAATTTGGCTTGTTGTATGTCTCAGGTGGTGTGTGTGTGTGTGTGTGTGTGTGTGTGTGTGTAAATAGTTTTAGAAGTCCAGAACCAAATGGAGAAGTTTCAGAGTTGCCCCTGTGCATGGAGGAGAATCATACAAGGGCACAGGGTGACCAGCCATCTGTGGCTTGACCATTGTCCCTTTGCGTATGGCATGTTCATGAACACTAAGGTCTTCACTGTGCTGGGGTTTCTCAATGACACTCAGAGGACAAAGAGCTGGATCTGTTTTCTTAGAGCAGCCTTTCTTCTCTTCATCCTATTTTAAGAGTTTCTAGGTTAATTATGTACTTAATTAGCATTTAATGCAAATGAGTTATGATTCTTGCTATTATACAGATAGATGTAGTAAAATTAGGTTATTTTATGAAAATGCCTTCCAATTTGATTTACATATTTTATTTATTTTTTTATTTTTTGAGATTATAATTACATTTTACCCTTCCTTTACTCTCTCCAAACCCTCCCATATACCCCTCTACATTCTCCAAATTCATGCTCTCTTTCTTCATTGTTTTTGCATGCATATGTGCGTTTGTATAAATATATATAATCCTAAATATACCTGGTTCAGTCAGTATAATGTTTCATGTCTGTATGTTTTCAGGGCTGACCATTTGGCACTGGACAAACAATTGGTGTACTTTTCCCTGGGGAAGAGCACCTCTCCCAGCCTTCTTCAATTGCCTATAATCTTTGTGTAGGGTTGATATTTGTTTTGTGCTGGTGTTTGAGACCAAGACCTTGGGCATGACAGGCTCACACTCTACCACTGAGCTACATCTCCAACTCACAGATTAGTTTCTATTTTAAAAATGGAATGCTCTTATATTTAGTTTCTTCAGATTATATGTGGGTTATCTTAATGTATCTGTCACACACTTTTTCCATACAAGTTCTCCTTTTCATGATGGATCTGTCCATGTTTCTCTGCAGTGAAAATGGGTTTGAAGAGGGAATAAGTACGCTGGGACTCGTATCTGGTCTTACTGGCGCTGTGTGGTCAGTTGGGTAAGTGAATTCATTTGCACCTGAGAGATGGAAATGCTCTCTCCATGTTACAGATGGAAAATTGGAACATCAAAAAGGTCCATGAGATTATCTAAGGCAAAAGCTCATCTAAGGCAGAGCAAGATTTCTCATTCACAACCTGTGACTCCAAAATTTAGTATGTCAGCAGACGTCATATGTAGATGTATCCAACCTTCTTATTAAATAATAAACACAGAACCAATGCAAAGAAGAAAGCCAAGAGGTCAGAGCTAAGAGCTAAAACCTTACCCTTCCTCCTGCGGTGGTCCTACCTCTCCGAACCAGAGCTACCCCTGTGTTAAAGTCTTTATATAGAGTTCCTGTCCTGCCTTCTCATTGGTTGTAAACCCAACCACATGACCGCCTCCTCACAGCCTGTCTGTATAGGCCTCCAGGTTTTCCATGATTGGTATTAAGATTAAAGGCATGTGTATCCAATAATGGCTGTATCCCTGAACACACAGAGACTTACCCAGCTCTGCCTACTAAGTGCTGGAATTACAAGCGTACGCTACCACTGCCCTGCTTTCCTATGGCTTGCTAATAGCTCTGACCCCCGGGCAACTTTATTTATTAACATACAAATAACATTTTAATACAAATAAAATATCACCATAGTCATACCCAACTAAGATACCTTCATGGACCTTGCTTTGAGCACTACTTAAAAATTCCTTTAGCTGAAGCATATCTCAGACTTTTAAAATGCATTCCTTTATTGATTCACTTGCTCGCTTGTTTTCTTGTTTATACTTCCTAATAGATCAGACAATGCACTGTATAGTAGCGATATAATGCATACAAAGTCAATAACTATGCAGTGAACTGATTCAGTTAATAAGAATAGAAAGAATAGTGGGCCAGTGAGATGGCTGAGCAGGTAAAGTACTTACCACACAAGCCTGGAGACCTGAGTTCAAACCTACGTAAAGAGGGAAAGAAAAAGGGAACCTGTTCCACAGGCTTGTCCTCTGACTTTCTTATGGTATTGTTGCATGCACCACTAACCACAAAATAGAGATTCTTTTAAACACATGCTACTGTTTTTATTGTTATGTAGGTCATCAACTTCACAGCTGTAATCCTACATTTACAACTCTCTAATAATCATAATTCTTTCTTTCTCTTCTTCTCTCTCCCATCTCAGCACTGGATCTGGGGATCAAACTCCACCATCCACACTGTGGGCAAGTGCTCTACCAATGAGCCATACCCAGACCTAGAACTCTTACTTATGCCTGAGAATCTCCCTTTATTGCTTTAGTTTAAGGAAGACCAGTGACTGGGGTGTCATGCATCTTTATAAAGTAGTTTTTGCACTGTTCGATACTCACCCATTCTTCTTTCCATGGTCAGTGCTTTCATGGGACCAGTGCTGGGCGGATTTCTGTATGAGAAAATTGGTTTCGAGTGGGCAGCAGCTATACAAGGCCTATGGGCTCTGATAAGTGTGAGTAATCCTGGATTTGTGTGGGGTTTCTTCCATTTCCTTACACTTTGGAGACACTTGTCTTGGAGGATTTGCTTTAACAGTGCATTTCGTTGTGTTAAAGGGACTTGCGATGGGCTTATTTTATCTCTGGGAGCACTCAAAGGCAAGAAGAAGGTATGATCAGCTTTCCAGACTCCTTTCCCCTTAAAAGAAGCTAGCTCATGAGGGTAGAAAAGAAATATTATTTCCCATCCTTTCTTGCTCTTAGATTTCTGGGATCCTAAGACTCCTTGCTCGATAGGCATGTCCAAAGAGGTGCTTGGGTGGAGATGTAGATACTTAATGTTTAGGTTTCTTTTTCCAGGGGTGGGATAGGGTTCAAGATGGTTTCTTGTGTAGTCCTGGCTGTCCTAGACCTTACTCTGTAGACCAGGTTGGGCAAACTCAAAGATCTGCCTACCACTGCCCGCTGAGTGCTGGTATCAAAGGCATGAACCACCATGCCTAGCTATGTTCAATTTTCTTAAGACAATCAGTACTGTTTTCTTTCTTTCTTTTTTTTTTTCCCTCCACACTGTAGATCTAAAGCTCAGAGCATCACTGGCACAGAGGGGGAACAAGCTGATCTCTTATCCTGTGAAACCTAGGCTCGCAAGCTTTGGATTGGTGCAGACAGGTGCCTCGAGCTGTGACAGCAGCAGAGGTCCATGCTGCCTGGACTCGAACCCTGGAAGTGTCAAGCTGCTTTTCGACGATCCTGCACCGGGCTGCACTTACTGTAGTTCGGAACATCTATGAGAAAGGGAAAACCAGCAGAAGCTGGTGTTTCTAAATGACCCGCCTTGCCCCTCAGGGTACTGACTCTCTTTGTCTTTCTTATTCCTGTGTTCGCTTTTCATTCTAAGTTCATCAGTTCTCCAAATGTACCTCTTAAAATTAATATGTGAAGAAATGAAACTACTTCATACACATTGAACATATACAATAGAATGAATAATTTTGTGAAATCAGTGTTGAAAAATGTGCTTTCTCAGCACTGAGATTTTTATACCCATTAAAAAGGCAAAATTCGCCAGGCGGTGGTGGCACACGCCTTTAATCCCAGCACTCGGGAGGCAGAGGCAGGCGGATCTCCGTAAGTTCGAGGCCAGCCTGGGCTACCAAGTGAGTTCTAGGACAGGCGCAAAGCTACACAGAGAAACCCTGTCTCGAAAAACCAAAAAAAAAAAAAAAAAAAAAAAAAGGCAAAATTCCTGCCTGCCACATAAAAACTCCAGAGTGTTCCTTTGCTTTCAGGTTTTCTAAAAATGTTTCTGTGGAAGATGCAAAAGAAAAATTAATAATGATACATATAATTTTCATTTTGTGACATTTTCAGTTATGATTTGTATTTATCATTATTTGGCATAATATTATTCATTTCCAATCTCAATATCTCTTTGTTTTAGTCCCACAATTTATGTTTGTTTATTGTGTTTAGTACTTTTCATACTCTTGGAAGATGGGTTCCATCGGGGATACTCCTCTAGCTTCATGTAAAATCCTTGCTGTGGCCTGAAGTGAGAACGTCAACTTTGTACCTCCTGATTGATTTTCTTATTGTAGTAGTTACATTTCTTTTCTAATAGAATAAACGATTTTGTCTAGCTACCCATTGTATTCATTCAAAACACTCTTTTAAAACAAGGTCTCAAATATCCCAGGCTGGCCTGAAAGCCACTGTATAGCTAAGGACAACTTTGAACTCCTGATCTGCCTGCCTCTTTTGTCCCAGGTGCTGGGATTAATATGCATGCATCACCACACAGAGTACTGAGTATTGAACTCAGGTCCTTGAGCATGCTGAACTATGTCACTAATCCTTCAAATGCCCTTTGAATTCTTTTCAGGATCAACCCTGCATAGATAGGTACCAGGGACATAATCTATGCCTTTATGCAACATACACCAGTAGAAAGGGAAAACAGTACATAAATACCAGGATTTATTTCTTGTAATAATGCTCAATAAAAAACAAATCATGGTATAAGAGAGCAACTGCCTGGTATTGATTACGTGTGGGGACTAATTTGCACAAGCCCTCTCCATGGAAGTGATACCTCTGAGCAGAGATCTGAAGGGAGAATGAGACGCTCATGGCAACAGCCCGTTGACAATATAGAAGATGAGAACATGGCCCACTGACTGGAATCTGGTATGCAGGAGGTGGGGCCAGATGAGATAGCCAGCTTCGCAAAGAGGGCTTCTAGAATGGATGCCCTGTTGGTTGAGTTTTCTTGAGTCTGTGTGTATAGTGGGTGAGGATGCTGGCAGACAAGGAGGGAGATAGAAGGAAAACTCTGAGTGGAAATAATGGTTTAGACCATGGAGGTAGCCTTAGAGATCAAGAGAAAAGAAGATATTCAGAATAGAAATGACAGGATTGCTGCTGTTGGGGGAGGGGAGCAGATTCAAGGATGGCGCCCAGGCTTGGTCTTGCAGTGCGGTGGATGGCTGCATCTCTTAGTGAGATGGGGAAGGAATGGAGCAAAGCATCCTAGGAGGTCCAGTTAAAACCACGATGAGCAGCTGGTGGGGGTGGATGTCTTTAGTCCCAACACTAAGGAGGCTGTGGTAGGTTTATCTCTGAGCTCCAGACCAGCCTGGTCTACAGAGCGAGTTCCAGGACAACCAGGGCTACACAGAGAAACCATCTCAAAAGCAAAACAAAAACAAAAAAACAAAACAAATCAAAGAGCATGTTCCAAAATAATCAACCAAGTTTTACTAAATACAATCAGCTAAGAAGAGGGAGGTACCTTCATTTACCTACAAAGGGAATGATCCAAAGGCTAGTCCCATAAAAATCATCTTGACTGAGAATGTTGCCATGTGTCCTAATTTATGAAATAAAAGCATAGTCCAGAAGCAACAGATTTTGAGAGAAAATAAAATGTCTGCATTATTAACCAAGAACACCAAAGCCCCATCTTTCGGGCTGCTTGAAATGAGCTTACTGGAAATCACTTGTAACTTTAAAAAAAGATTTATTTTTACTTATGTATATGTATGTGTGTGTGAGTGTGGGTGTCATCTGTGGGGGTGCCCAGGGAGGCTAGAAGAGGTAGTTGCATCTCTCGGAGTTGGTGTTACAGGTGGTTTAGAGCCTCCCAATGTGGGTGCAGGGAACAAAAGCCAGGTCCTCTGCCAGAGCAGCAAGAGCCATTCTGTCCTACTGTTTAACAGGGCACAGTCCATCCCAGGAGGGGAAGCACAGCAGAGTGTCTTAGTCATGGGTTTTGCTGCTGAGATGAAACGCCATGACCAAAAGCAACTTGAGGAGGAAAGAGTTTATTTTGCTTACTATTCTATATCACAGTACATCATCAATGGCAATAAGGGTAGGAACTCCAACAATGCAGGAACCTGGAGACAGGAGGTGATGGAGGGCCTTGGAGGAGTGTTGCTTACTGGCTTGCTCTTTGTGGCTTGCCTACCCTGCCTTCTTATAGAACCTGGGACCACCAGCCCAGTTACTACACCATCCACAAAGGGCTTGAGTTTCTCTCCATTTAATTTCATGTTGGCTGTTGGCTTACCGTATGTTGCTTTTATTATGTTTAGGTATGTTCCTTGTATCCCTGATCTCTCCAAGACCTTTATCGTGAAGAGGTGTTAGATTTTGTCAAAGGCTTTTTCAGCATCTAATGAGATGATCGTATTTTTTTTTTTAGTTTGTTTATATGGTGTATTAAATTGACAGATTTTCATATGTTGAACCATCCCTGCATCTCTGGGATGAAGCCTACTTAATCATGGTGGATGATTTTTTTGATGTGTTCTTGGATTTGGTTTGCTAGTATTTTATTGAGTATTTTTACATCAATGTTCACGAGGGAGATTGCTCTGTAATTCTCTATTTTTGTTGCATCTTTGTGTGGTTTGGGTATCAGGGTAACTGTAGGCTCATTAAAAAAAAGAGTTTGGCAATGTTCCTTCTGTATCTGTTGTGTGGAACAGTTTGAGGAGTATTGGTATCAGTATCCCTCTGAATATCATCAAAGCAGTGTTTAAAGAAGCTGGGTGGAGATGGCTGAAGAGGGAGCTGAGAAGAATAGAAAGCAGTCCACAGTTCCCCAATGATTGTTTAGCACCTTATCTCAGGTGGCTCAGGCTGTAGGGAGCAGTTAGACAATGGTTCACAAGAGAAAATGCTTAAGTTGTAACTCAAAGTCCTTCCAAGTCTGGACTCTGTTCCCAACAGGTCACTGCAGGTCAGGCTATCTCCCATCCCTTGTCCTTGAACAAGAATAGGGGAAAAATGAAAGATCAATTGTGCCTGTCCTTTGAATTAGGTACTTTCATATGCTTGGCATTGGGAGTCTTCCCTTGCCTACACCAATTCATTTTCAGAAAGAGAAAATGATAGAGAGACAGTGTTAGGAGAGGGGGAGAGAGAGAGAGAGAGAGAGAGAGAGAGAGAGAGAGAGAGAGAGAGAGAGAGAGAGAGAGAGAGAGAAGCAGAGACACACAGAGAGACAGAGATAGAACTCAGCAGTTACACAGAGGTCTTTGTAGCAACTCCCCAGAAGGAGCACCTCAGTCCTAGTAAGCCCCAAGTGTGGTTTTCGAAGTTGATTCTAAGTAACATCACTTCCACTCCGGCTTATCGTGATTTCACCAGCCTAACAAGATGGATTAAAAGACACCAACTAATTACTTTTGAAAACAGACCAGTTAGCTAGGGAACAGAGAATTGCCATCTTACCAGGGTTATCCCCTGGAAAATTCTCCTGAGTCCAAAATGTGGATCAGATCATTTGATTTATGAATACATAATTAAAACAAAAGGATTTGTTTTCATGGAAAAGAACTCTAGGGAGGCAAGGCAGCCTGAGGCTTCTCTTAGGCCTGGTGATGAAAGCCATGTAGAATCAGGGCTTACTTACTCTGAGAAGAGCCGAACAGTAATGAATTTTTTATAGATGTGTTTACCTATTCACTTATCTATTTCAGTTCTTTCTCCAGTGGCCTACAGTCCATGCCCCTTTAGGTAACATAATATTTCTAAAGTGGCAGATCACAGGAATTTAGATTACAAGTATTTTATTTCAGTCTTCCTCTCAATGACTTCTTAAGAATCTCCCAGTGAATGATGGACACTCCCTCTGCTAACATTTGCCAGTCACCTTAGAGGATTATGAAGACTGAAATTCAAGAACATGTACTGTGTATTATGTATCTTTTCCTGACTTACTAGTTTTCTAGAGGTTAGAGTGTCACTAAAAGTGACCACGGATGTTGGCAGATTTCATCCAGTAAAAAAGTTAACTGAATCATTTGGCCTGAATCAAATTTTATGCAGACGGACAGGATTTGTATGAACGCATCATGTTTCTGTTCTGAGTGGAATAACATTGCAAAAAAAGGAGGAAGAGACAAGGATGCAGTTAAAAGACTAAATCCAGACTTTAAATGAATGTCTCACAAAGACAGTCCTTCCAGGGAGAGAGGAGAACATGAGAGATGAGGGCCCGCCAAAGGCAGGCCCACACTGAAGAACTGCATAACAGAATACAAGAGAGTCATTAGAGGCTCTAGGAGACCCACAGGTCTATAGTTTAGGCAACAGGAAAGAGAAGGGTACCATTCTCTAAGACGGGGAAGACATACGGAGAAACGAGTTTTCTTTTAAACCTATTTTGCTCTCTTCTTCCCTTCCCCAGCAACTTCATCCATTTGTACTCACTTAGCTTCAAAGTGTATTCACACCACAACAGGGGTTTGTGAAATTAGCACCACTGTAAGATGTGAAGAAAATACCAAACTCTTTCACTATGTAGCCAGCCTTGGTTGGTCCAGAAGAAAACACCAGACATTTATCTCGTAGGATTACACATTGTTTTTGAAATTCAGACCAGCTTCAAACTTGCAGCAACCTCCTGCCTCAGCCTTCAAAAAAAAACTGGGACTATAGGTGTGAATTATTATTTTTAAGTTTGCACGAGGCAAATTTCTTTTTAAACTATTATTTTTAAGAACTTTCTTCTTTGACAGTTTCATACATGTATATAATAATGTGTTTTGATTGGAATTAAATCACAGAATTTCGCTCTCTATCATCTGCCTCCCACTTTTTTGGGACATTTTCCCATTACTCCACTTCCTATATCCATATCTTCTTTTTTTTTGGACTGGGTTTAGTTAGGTTTGTTTGTATGCACACAGGTGCAAGGATATTTACTGGATCACGGGCAGCTTACCAGTTACTTCACCTCCAAAAATGTTGCTCCTCCTCCTTTAGCACCCATTAAGTACCAATTAATGCTCTTTAGCTGGAGTAGGCTTTATGTATCCTTCCTCCATCCATGCTGGGGTGTTGACCAGTTTAGTCTTGTTGAGGTGACCTCATTTGCTATGAGTTCCTGAGTGAAATGGTCACGTCACATAACAAAAAGAGTGTGTCACAGCACCCTTCCCCATTTCCCTGCCCTTATGTTCTTTCGGCCCTCTCCTCCATCATGTTTCCAAAGTAGTCAGTCTGTGTGTGTGTATGTGTGTGTGTGTGTGTGTGTGTGTGTACACAAGAGGGGGGGGAGAGTTGGTTGTTTCTCATTTATTTCTGAGCACTGAACACTCACTTATTCTCAGCATTTTGACCAGCTATGAATTTCTGCATGAATTACTACCCACTGGAGGAAAACAAAAAGATTCTTTAACTAGGGTTGAAAGCAGCACCAATCTATGGGCGTGAACACAAATATTTAGAATGTAGTTTAACAACACGTCCCATTTAGCAAAAACAGCAGTAGGGGGCTCCTCTCTGGAACTTATGACTTCCTCAGCCATGGGCTGCTGACTAGGTTTTACAGTGCCGGAAAAGAATTTCCTCTGTAGAGTGGATTGCAAATCCAAATAGAAAGTGGATGACAACTCCCAAAGCATTTATGGCACTATTGAACCAGTAGATACATATTGCCTGACAGGTCAGTATCGTATAACATTCAGGGTTACATAAAACCATAGAAGATGTTTGTCTCCCATAGCACCTTTCAGCACTAGCTAGTAGGGAGGAGATTTCCATGTCACTTCCAACTTGATTTCCCTGTGTCCTTCAGCTCAA